TATGTATATCCGAATTCTTGAGGTATTTTAGGTTTTTCACCTGAAATCTGAAAGAAGTGTACTAGATGTAAAGAGAAATTGCCAAAAATTATTATTAAAGATAATCCACACTAGTGCATTGCCAAACCATTATAATTCTACTCCTCATTTTAGTCTTAGGACCTAATGAGAGAAAAACCTCAAAAACAAACCTAAAATTTTTTTGGAAGAGACAATTGCACTCTTAACTACCTAAAAATATATAACAACCTAGGTCACTAACATATTGGAGACGGGCTCAACTCAAAATATTGAATTAGATTTTAACAATTATCTCGTGTATTAGCTGATAACACAACACAATTTTTGAAGATAAGAGCAGGGTTTTTGAAAAGATTTGAAAAAAAAGTGTTGAATAAAATTTTAAAATTAAAGTGTGGAATTTATTATATATAATGAAGATATGAAGATCAATCTCAAACAAAAAAAATTTCAAAAAAATTCTTTTAAAAATGTCATTATATCTCATTATATCTCAAGAGACTCTAAGACATATATGACGTGGAGAAAGAATTTCTCTATATTTAATTGAAGAGTATTGATGATGAAAAGAAACAAAACTGAGACTAAAGAAACTTTCATTCTTGATGTAAAGGTGAGTTATATTTTGAGTTACTCTTACAAAGCTCGAGGCTATTATATATGCATCTATTATACACAAATTAACTATCTACTAATAACTTGCTAACTAAATGCACAACTGTATATAGAAATTAATTAGTTAATATACCTAACTATATACATTGATTGCTCCTTTCAAGTTGGATTATGTATAGAATATAGATTCAACTTGGACAACAAAGTAGTAAAAAACAAGTAATTTCAAGGGTTTGGTAAAAATGACATCAATTAGGAGCTATTTGGTGTCATGTGTAAATGTTAGTTGATAGTTTCATATTGCTTGTAATAGTGAAGATTGAGTACTTTATAAGTGAGAAGACTCATACACCTATTACATTAAGGTTTTAGGTGATCATGTGGTGTCTATTTCACTTGTGTGTTGCTTTTGACCCAATGTGGATGCTCCTCATAATGATCCGGCACTTAGGACATGAAGGAAGTGAAGTAGTTTGAATTAAATCTTGTCTTAGATCACATGATAATCTAATTCTATACGTTTTGTTTTTTTATGAAAAGTTGAATTGTGTGCCAAATTTATTACAGATGTGCTATCACAAAAAATAAGTTGAAGGGGAGAAAAACAACTTTAAAATCTTGAAATAGATGTTGTAACTGATGTAACTTACACATATGTAAATTGCTCATATTTTCACTCCTTAAATGATATTTAAGTATACTTGTCATATTTTTATTGGAAAATGGTAAGAGTCAAACCTAAAGAATTGTACCTAAATGTTGTCCTTAATATAAACCTTCTTTTATATATATATATATATATATATATATATATATATATATATATATATATATATATATATATATATATATATATATATATATATATATATATATATATATATATATATATATATATATATATATATATATATATATATATATATATATATGAGTTGACTCATGATTCTAACGAGTCAAACTATATATAGTTCAAGTTCAACTCATTTAGTTAATGAACTTAGTTTTTTGTACATTTTAGCTCATTTGATTCATGAGCCAAACTCAACTATTTGGTTAACGAATCGAGTTTCGAACTATGTTCGAGTTGGTTAGGTTTATTGTCAGCCCTATTCACGACTTATTCAAATTATGATTGTATTATTTGACTCGAATCATTTGTTTTTATTCCTCGCCTTTTAGAGTCTAACCTCTTGCACGCATATAAATATTTTTTTGTCAATTTTCAAAACAAAAAAAAAATTGAGTATTTTTTTGAAAAACAAAAAATTCTTACACATTCGCAAAAATTTGTTGAGTGAGTGGTTTATGATTAGGTAAGATAAAAAATCTATAGTATCAAAAATCTTGAGAAAAACTCACGAGTGTTTTTCCTTTCATAAACACATCATCTCCTTGTTTCAATCTTGTGAAAAACTTCCTAGAGTGTTACTCTTGTGAGGTATAAATTGTATTTTGTAAGATTCTTTAGATAATCATCATATTCATCAACCTTGAACCTATAAAGCATTGTTATGGTACTCAAATTGAAAGATTGAGTGTGAGTGATAGATTTAAGTTACATTAAGGAAGCTAATGTTTTTTTTGGTGAAGTTTTCATATGTGTATCCGAATAAAGAATCACTTTATGTCTATGATATTTGGTGATTGACTTCCAACAAAGAGAAGAGTGTTATTTATACTTCATTGTATACTTTGGTAGAACTGTGTAAAGGTTGCTACATAACGAAGTTGAGAGTTTTTCAATCATTCCTGGATAGACACAAAAGCTCTGACAAAGAATCAATATGAGTGAGTAAAGATCGTTGTGGAACGAAAGCTTGGAGCAAGATTTTGTGTCTAGTAATATTTTTGCATCAAGATCAAGTAAATATCTTGAAAAATTGGCAGTTTCAGGGTTCTACTATAACAGAAGGGAAAATAAATTTAGACTTGTGTTTTCTAAAGCAATTGGCTTGTAGTGTTCAGGATTGTTGATTATCTGTGGTAGAAAAAATACTTTTGTATCAACTTTATAAAATAGTGGAATACGCTACCAATTTTCAATGGTGAAACCACTGAAGAGTGAATTAAGCTCTAGCAAGGAGAATGGGTCAAACCTTTATAAACCTTGTTTACATTATTCTTCTCCTCGTCTCTTTTACATGTTTGCATAGTATTGCATGTCTTAAGAGCATTGATACAAAGTTGAGGATTATGAACCTTTGTGAGAGACACACTACTTATCCACCTAAAACTTTAAGGTGATAGGTGAGTGGGCTCTTCCACTTATAAATGTTTAATTCATGATATTCCTATTTAATGTGAGACTATTTCCCCGCTTACTCACACTTGCATTATTATTCTAACACTCACCCTCAAGTGTGCGTCCACAATGCTCCCACACTTGCACTTGTACCGTCGTCACCTCTTCTTGGACAACGAGATACCTCTTCTTGGTCGTTTTGATAGAAGTAAGTTCGTCCCTTTCTTGAAACCAAAGGCTCGTGATACCATTTTTTTGAGGAGTTCACTAGGGAACATTGATACATAGTGTATAAGTATGCACCTTTATGAGAGATACACCACTTATCCACCCAAAACCTTAAGGTCATAGGTGAGTGAGTTCTTCCACTTATATATGCTCAAGTCTCCACATTTCTAACTCCCTCTTAAGTGTGAGTCCATAATGTTCTCCCTCAATACACTTGTACCACCGTTGACACCTTACAACGACACACCTCTTCTTGGATATTTCAATACAAATAAGTCGGTCCCTTTCTCGAACCAGGCTCTTATACCATTTTTAGGGAGGAGTTTACACTAGGAGCATGGATACAAAGTTGAGGAATAAACACCTTTGTGAGAGACACGCCAGTTATCCACCTAAAACCTTAAGGTGATAGGTGAGTGGGTTCTCCCACTTATAAATATTCAAGTCTCCGCATTCCTATTCAATGTAGGACTATTTCTCCACTTACTCACACTTGCATTATTATTCTAACACTTCCCCTTAAGTGTGAGTCCACAATACTCTCCCACTTGTACCGCCGTTACCTCTTCTTCGACAACGAGACATCTATTCTTGAGTATTTTGATACAAGTAAGTCAGTCCCTTTCTTGAAACCAAAGACTCTGATACCATTTGTTGGGGGGAAGTTACTAGGATCATTGATACAAAGTTGAGGATTATAAACATTTGTGAGAGACACACCACTTATCCATCTAAAACCTTAATGTGATAGGTGAATGAGCTATCCCACTTATAAATGTTCAAATCACCACATTCATATCTAATGTGTGACTATTTTTCCACTTACTCACACTTGCATTATTATTTTAACAAGATTATTCTTTATTTTTTTGAATATCATGTTATTAAATCTTACCATGGTTATAGTGATTTATTATATAAGTTTATGTTTATGAAAGATCTAGTCTCTTGAATATTCTATCTTATCATTATAATTGTAAAAATTCATAACTTTATATTGAACAATCAATTCATCAAAATTCAATTAGAGCCATAAGTGAAATTAAATTATGTGAATCGTTGTTTTTCTTGTCCAAACAACTTCATTTATCTCGGTTATAGTTATTTTTTACTATCTCATGTAACTATGATAGACATAGGCCATTTGTATCTCATATTCTCCACCAATGTCATGAGCTTGAATTGATTCACCAACAAATTCTTGACGCTAAGAGCTCACTGCATATAACGTGATAGTGACATATAGTTGGAGTCATTCAATAGAGGTGTAATCTTCATATAATAGGAACTTTCACTTGAATGAATGTAGTAAACTGAGTGAATATCACCATTGAAAACACACATTTGATTAGCATGTGGAGGCATGATCAATGGATAAAAAAATATGCTCAATAAAAGAAGGATGGAGAAGATGTGCAGAAAGGATGCAAGAATTTGCGAAGAGCGAGGATAAACTAGAACATTGTTGTGATTGATACCGTATCCAATTATCAGTCATGAATTTCATACTGAAATTGAACTGAAAACAGAAAATGATTGAAGTGTTTCTCTTGTTTGTTCATTCATTAAGCATCACATTATATACAAGAGGGTGGAGGAGCTCTATAACTATCATGTTACACATATTAGATAGTAACTTGTATGACAAGTTAATTAGCTAATAACATTGAAATTGCTTAAATAATTCTTCATTGTTTAATAAATGCCAATATAATAATATAAGAATAACATATAAAAAAATGGAAGAAGATGGTGTGGGAAAGAAATAAATATTCTTCTGCAGTTACTTTTGGTATTATAGTCTTTAAGCATTTTATCTTTCATTTTTATTATTATACTCTTTCTTTTCACACCTTAAGTTAAAAAAAGAAAGAAAAGAATATAGTGTTTTTCATGTCGCTAACACATCATTGTTGTTCAATGTCATTCTCTGCTTTTGACTTTCACTTGGTAGTTTAACCTCTGTTGCTAAACCAATAGCTTGAAGAAATTTCACCAAATACCAAGTCATGTCAATTTCCCACCACTCTAAACCATGTCTAGCTGAATACTCAAATGCATGGTGGTTATTGTGCCAACCTTCACCAAATGCAAGCAGAGCCACCCACCTAACAAATTTTAGATAACAACAAAGCGAAAAAGATTTCATTAATCTATGCTGCATAGTAGATACTTTTTAGCCCGTCAGATCAATCATAATCAATTAATCATTAAAAATATTTATACAAAAGATGGTCGGTGATTGATTGACACCGTAAAAAGTCGTTGCATCAAAATTAATCTCTTAACAATAATTTGTTAACTAAATCAATTACTCAGCCATGAAAAAGTTAACATACCAATTATTTCTAGATAGGTCCCTTGTGTTCCAAGATTGGCTTCCCCAAACATGGCAAGCTGAGTTTACAAACCAAGTAATGTGGTAAACCCAAACACTTCTCACACCCTGCATGCATTTAAATTTGAATTCATTACTATTAAGAACAAAATCACCCATTTAATTTCTAAAATTGAAAGATGTTGTCAACTTAATCCATGGAGTGAACAAATTTTGATACCATTCCCCAAACAAGAAAAGGAAATCCACCAATTGCATATAGAAGAGCTCCCAAAGCAAATGGATGCACAATGTAAGTGCTCCTAATAAATCTATAAAAAGATTGTTTCTCTAAATCACCAACATTGGTTGGTTCTCCACACTGCACACATACATATCACACAATCATTTCACAAGTAAATTGAATATATGTTTGAATTGACGCCGAGTTCAACAATTATAATGTGCACCATAATTTTAGTAAAATCATAATATTATCTGATTTTGTCAAACTCGCTGTCAATTCACTTATGCACAAATTTTTTATATGTATTTTTAGATAGATAGATAGAGAGATAGATGATTCATACTCTTTCTACAATAGAATTGGTATCAAATAGCCAACTCATATGGCTAAACCAAAATCCTTCAATTGGGCTATGAGGGTCCTTATCAGAATCACAAAATTGGTGGTGATACCTATGAGTACTCACCCAATCAATTGGATTTCCCTGCACACAAAAACCAAAATAACATTCTATCTTGCCTTAAAGAAAAGAAAATCAATAATAAAAGAGATCATAGAATTACTTCAAGATTAATAAAAGCAGTTAAAGTTTAGTTTGGAATTAGGATCTCAATATAAATTGTATCTTATAGTAACTCTGAATTGAGATTCTTCACATTCACGCATTCAGATATCGGTATTGTTCAATCAAGATCAGATAGTCTAAAAAAATGCAGAGCACTAACATATGTCACAAATGCGTGAATGTGAGGAAACTCACAAATTGAGGCAATCCTCATTATTCCTAACCAATTTGCACCTAATCCTAACCAACTTTAACTACATTTTATAATCTCCAACCAATTCTAACAACAAACACAAAATTAAATGCAAGAAAAAAACACCAAAAAATGAAAACTTTCAAGAAGAATTCAACCTGAAGAGCAAGAACTCCACAATAAGCACAGAAATATTCAAGCCATTTAGGAAGCTTAAAACTTCTATGAGAAAGATTCCTATGAAAAGAGAGTGTGATACCAAAAAGTCCAGTAACAACATAAAGTGCAACAGCAACCCAAAAAGCTGGCCAATTGAAATTGAATGGAGCAAATAAGCAAAGCAAGTGCATTGCCAAAACAATACCAAAAGTTCCAATATCCAATGAATTCCATTTCCTTCCAAAAAACACATTTCTTTCTTTCTTCACTTCAACATCGGATAGAAAAATCTTTCTATATTTCAATGGTGATTCCTCTGGCTCCAAAGAAGCAACTTCTCCAATTGCAGCATTGGATTTAGCTATAAAAATTTGATTAAAATAAGAGGGGTGGTTTTTCAAGTGAAAATTTCTTAACTTGGAGTTAAAGTTACAAACTTTAATAGCTGTTGAATTTTTTGAGAATGGCCCAAGATTCACTATAGGCCTATTGAGTTGTGGAATTGAAGAATGAAGGGTTGTGAAGTGATTATGGAGAATAAGGTTTTTGGGCTGAGAAGTTATCAAAGCCATGCAGAGGGAAAAAAAAAAGAATCTTTTTTGTTAATTTTTCTTGTACTTGATAATGGCAAAGCCTTTTGTGAAAGGGTGAAGTTAGAGTTTGAATGTTTTTTTGAGGTCTTATGTTAATGTTTGTGTTTGCGTTGGAATTAGCCAAGTAACTTAAGCGGTGGTACATGTTTGGGAAAATGGGAGTTTGAAAAATATTGTGGGCTGAATGAAGGGATAAGGTGGTGTTTGGCTTTGTGAAGGGCATTGATCTTTGAAGAATGAGATTCACATGATTCATGGAATTTGGTTTGGATATTTTCAATGCTGGGATAACCTTTGACTTTGTCATTATTTGAAATTATAATTATGGAAAAAATGACACTAAAAATGCAAGTTATTGTATTTATTTATGCTATTAATGTTTAAGTTTTTGTATTTTATTTATGTTAATAATAGTAGTAGTTATTTTGTTTAACTTATTGTATTTTGACCATGGTACAATATTAATTATTTTTAAGTGATGATTTAAAATTTGTGATATCAATGACTGTAATTAAGATGAAACTCTAATTCATCTATTTTATTAAAAAAATAAAAAATTTAATTATTATGGTAGGATATTATGAAAGCTCTTAATCATTTGATATTTTTTCTGTTCTGTCCATTTGCCACTTGTCCCTCAAAAAAAAATCCTTTTATCTGTTTTCTAATATACTTATTTAAATAATCTATGGTCATCATATATTTACCAAAAAAAATATCTATCTACATTTTGAGTTGTTAGATTGAGCCAACACTCTTTCTCTCTTCTCATAATTCCTTTCCTTATTCCAATCCAATATTAAGAAATCACCAAAGAAGTGTGATACATGGCTGCAACTAATGCTTCAATCTTTACTTCAACAAAACCTTGCTTCTCTGTCACAACCTCTCTTCCTACTCATACCATAACAAACACGTTTGGTTAGTTTTTTTTTTCCTTTCATTTTTGCATCCACTTTTTTGCATTTTATAAGTATTTAATTTTCATAAGAAATTACAGTGATACAGTATTAATTAAAAAAGATACGATACGGTACGTTTAAGATATGTAAATAAAAATATGTTAATAAAAATTTATTTGGAATATTTTAGATGGATAAAAGTGATAACTATATTATAGTAATAAAAATTTCTTAGTGAAAAAAATGTGAAAGTAAAAAGAAGAAGAAAGTAACGTTCCAGTTGCAAAGAAAAAGGTTCCTGCATAAGTAAAAGTAATGATATCTGAAAGAAAATTATATTTAGTATGAATTAAATCTATAATATTGAACATTGATAAGAAATTATGGGAAATTAAACCATTCTTGTAAAATGGTAAGTTTCTAGAATAAACAAAATAGGGCATTAAAGAATGACCATTAAAAAATTAAAAGAAACGAAGAGTCATTAAAAAAAAAGAGAAGTATCTGTGAAAAATTGAAAAGTCACGTATGCGTGACGTATAGGAGGCGTATCGCCGCTGTATCAGAATTTTTTATTTATTTTTTAAAATATAAAAATTTGGATACGATACGTCTACGTATCTACGTATCGGTACATATCAGATACGATTCGGCAGAGTTTTTGAAATATCCGTGCTTCATTGAGTGTAATACTTCATAATTTTTGATGCAGGTAGTAATTTTCTGAATGTTTCATTACCAAGATGTTACCTTATGAAGAAAAGACATGTGAAAGCTAGGCATGTAATAGCCAATGCTGCTGCTTCTGTTGCAACAAGTCCTACTGAAGAAATTCAAGAGTATGAATTCTCACTTAACACCAATGTTTGATTAACGATGGAAAAAAAATTATTATAGAAATATTATTGTTGTGCTTATAAAGCTATAAACTATGTAGCTTCGATATTTAAATTGGAAGGTGTATCTGGTGTCTGATATATATAAGTTGTGTGACACCGAATAGTATATGATGTCTATTGTCTAACATCGACAATTAAATTTGAATGTTATATTTAGTTATTTAATTTCTCAAACTACTATTAATATCAACGTGTAAGTGTCATGTCTGGTGTTAGCGTGTCTGTGCATCATATGTTATTGATGTTTACAGGTACAAGCTACCTTCATGGGCTATGTTTGAATTTGGGAAGGCTGCTGTTTACTGGAAAACCATGAGTGGTGTCCATCCTACTTCAGTAAGTATGAAAAGTATAAAGTTATTTTGAGTTACTCAATCAACTTTTTCTAAATATTTATTTATAAATTTTTGCAGGGTGAAAATCTTAAACTTTTCTATAATCCAGCTGCAGCAAAACTTGCTCCTAGTGAAGAATTTGGAATTGCTTTTAATGGTAATTTGTTCTTGTTACTTTTGCATGAAAAAATATTTTGATTCATCATAGAATAACAGTTAGGAGTTATTTTTCTCTATTGGAGTTTTGGTTTCTCATATGTTTAGGAGGTTTTAATCAACCAATTATGTGTGGTGGTGAGCCAAGAGCTATGCTAAAAAAGGATAGAGGCAAAGCTGATTCTCCTATATATTCCATTCAAATATGTGTTCCTAAACATGGTAATACACTTCTTTCGATTCTAAATGCACGTATGTTTCACAAGTTTCTGGCGAACGTGATTCTGTCAAATTCACCATCAAGCAAAACATACAATTATTTAGTGTCATATTCTAACTTTTCTTTTCTTGGTGTAGCATTAAACTTGATCTTCTCATTTACAAATGGAGAAGATTGGGATGGTCCATATAGATTGCAGTTTCAAGTTCCCAAACCCTTGCAGAACAAGCCAATTGAATTCTTTAATGAGGTACAATTTTTATACATAAGTTATATTTATATGTACATTTAATGTCATGAGATGAACTCGAAAAATTCTTCTAAACATCTCTTGACCAAGTTGTCTGATCTCCATCAAACGACTGGCATCTAGTAACTGCATCGTTGCATGACCGAGTGAATACTTGTCCCTCTTGAGCATATAGGAAGGAAACATTTTAGGGCATTTGTTGATGTATACTATTCTTTTGGTAGGGTTTGGCAGAGGAACTAAGTCAAGAAGGAGCATGTGAAAAAGCAATATTTCCAGACACAACTACAGTTATATCTAAATGTGCTATGGTTGGTAACTTGTCAAAAGAAGGGGTGAGCATTACATTCTTCGAACCTTAGATCTAATTCGACTTCTCAACTCAACCACTTGTACTTACTCTTTAAATCATTGAAATAGAATTGAGTTTTCTAATAGATGAATGAAAACATCTATGCAGGGTGATCGCTGTGATCTGAATCTTGTTCTGGGGTGCATCGATCCTAGCTCGCCCATGTACGACCCACTAGCCAATGTAGATGATGGATCATGTCCAATTGATGTGGATTCTGACTCTGAGGAATAACAAACATTATACTTTCACATATGAAAATTCACTTCTATCATGCATATTGTTGTAACTTGTGTTAGTACATAAATAAGATGTTGTATAATATAAAAATGTAAATTCCACACTTAGCAGTTAGCACTATACTATTGGAAAAACTTTAGCAAAAATATGTTTCAATTGAAAAGAGACTTGTTCATCCTCTATATCTGAATTTTGTTGTACGAGAATGTGGATTTGAATGATCAAAAAGGGATTGAATAGACAGTTTTAAAAAAATTGAAATCAGAGTTCGATAAAAATTGCTTGGCGTTGTAGAATTTTCGTACAAAATATATGTTATTGAATTGATAGTAGTATATACTTAAACCAGAAATAAAATAAGCGAAAGATGAAGAGATTAAATCAACCGTTTCAAATGACTTAATATATAGTTTACACGAAATGTGTAAATCGAAAATTTTCAATCGAATAGTAATCGATCATTGCTACTTTCAGATTTAATTAAAAGTAAAACTGTTTAAGATCTTGATCTAACACAGACCTTATTCTTATTAAAATCTCCACGATTCGAAACAAAATCCAATTGTTCAGAATTCATATTTGATTCAAGTCACCTCTTTTTCACAAATTAAGTCATCTTGATCTAACACAGACCTTATTCTTATTAAAATCTCCACGATTCGAAACAAAATCCAATTGTTCAGAATTCATATTTGATTCAAGTCACCTCTTTTTCACAAATTAAGTCAGCCAATTTCCTAATTCGAATCACACTTCAAAAAATTCAAATTTTAATAAAAATAGAGTGCTGTTTGAATTGAGACTTCATATTTTTCTTGATCCTAGGAGGCATTTGTTTGAGAACAAGACAAAATGTTACCAAACTAAAGTTAACATATCACTGTTCATGGTAATATGTTGGATGGCATTAAGGTTATGCAGTACAAGGAAGACAAGTCTATCTAGTTATTAAAAGTGTAAAAATATAAACATATAATTACATACATCTATACAAATATACAAAACATTTAGATTCTATCCCCTAAAAAATGGATCACTTAGAAATGAATTGGAGAAAGTCCCTCCAATATTAGGGAAAAGGGTGAGAAAACAAATAAGACCAAGTACAATGCCCCAAACATATCTACTTTCCCCTAGAGGTGTGATCTCATCTTTTGCAGGTATTTCTTCTCCTCCCCTAAAGAAGGTTGCAAATAATCCCCAAGCCAAACACAAAACACTCCCACTTAGGCCACCAATACCAAGCAACAATGATGTACCAAAAGATAACAATGTTGCAGTGCTTCTTCCAAACATGGCTTGCGCGATTCGCCCTCCTTCGAGTCTTCCACATGGTAACAAGTTCAAAGAAGTCACCACCATCCCTGCACAATATTATATCGCTAACTATGTTTTATATCTTAGGTTACAAAACATGTAGATTTGCATATTGTGTCATTCTTATTAAAAGAAGAAAAGACGAGACAGAAACCGCAAAATCGCACCTAAAAGTCCGGCAAAAGCAAGTGGATCAACAGGAACTCCAACACCTTCGACGGCATAGGGCAACACATTTCCTAGGTCATCCGCGTAAGGCCCGATAACTAATTGAATAAATGAAAGCAAAGGGTTGTTATAGAAAAATTGAGGCCTTATGTACCTGAAAATAAAGCAGTAGAAAGTTACAATCAAGAGAAATGCTAATGCATAGTACTTACAAGATTATGGTCTATAAGCACTTAATTAACTTGTTTATTCAAACAATGACTATCTATCATTACTTCTCCTTTGAACAAAGCTACTTTTGCATATAACTCACAATGCATTATCGCCGCCGTTAAAGCTTCCATCAGCCACAAATGCAGCAACAGCAAGCACCAATGAAGTCAAATATGCACTAGCAGTACGCGCTATAGGAATATCAAAAAGAGCTTTCTTATTTGGGACAAGAGATTCATAGTTATTCATCACTCCTAAGCAACCTGTCCAATTCGATGGCACCAAAAACGAAGGACTGAGTTTAACACCATAACGAGCCGCAGTTACTCTGGTGGCTATCTGCACAGCGAAAAGAATACAATCACAGAACCATTTAAGCCTGAAAGACAAAGATACCAACACATATAGATACGTTCAACTTGAGCCATTTTTTTATTATCAGTGTCATGTGTGTGTCTGTATCCGTGTTTGTGTAACAGTTTCATAATCTGAGATAAAACATGAAAAGAATTTACCTCGGAAACTCCAAGAATAAACACGAAACCACCAAATAGAGGAACAACATTAGCAAGATAATCATCAAATGTAGCATCAGGTTTAAGGAAGAAGCCACTCATCAAAGCAACTGTTCCAAAAGTAGTAACTGCTAATGCAATTGAACTTAAATAGCCAAAGGGGTTGCTCAGATTAGTTAACTCAAATTGAAGATCCATTTCTGCTTTTGGTTGCACCATACAAGCCTAAATGTATAAATCACACAATTAACCAAAAGCCTTAAAGTTAATAAAGTAAGCAAGATCTCAAATTGATGATGGCAAATTACCTGTTTGGTAATGTCATCTTTTTGTTCTTCCATAAACCATAAAACAACTTCTCTACCTGCTGCATCAGAGAGTTTCTTCTCTAACTTGGGAATCACTTCATCAATTGGTCTCCTTAAATTCCCAATGAAAATCCCTCCTTCGCCAAATCTTCGAACATCCGTAGCAAAAAACGTATCAAAACCAAAGCAACTCTTCAACTTCACAAACAAACATCATCAGTGTCATTCAAATTCAACAGCAAAGAGTATTATTAGCATGAACTTCACCTTATTGAGATCAAGAGCTTTGAAAGTTTCTTCAACTTTTTCTAGCCTTTCTTTTCTCTTAACCAAATTAAGACGAACCAAGTTGTTGAAAACACCAACGATTGGATTATTCTTTGTTCTTTCATCATCGAGCTCCTTTAGCTTTCTATCAGTTCTCTTCTTCTCCAGCTTGATTGCTGCTTCAATTGATGGATTCCCCATGAAATTCTTGAATTCTTCATCTGTTTTCCAATCCATTTCTTGTTGTTGTTGTTTCTCATCCTCGTTTGTTTCTCTTCCAACATCATCATTGTTATTGTTAGTACTGTTGTCTATGTTGTCGTGTTTGTTAGGAGCAATAGATACGGGGGATGAATTGGTTTTGTTTTCGTCTTTGAGAGATGAGAATGATTTGAAGTTGAAGGAAGTGGTTTTGATTTTCTTGGAGTGTGAAGAAAGAAAAGAAGGGTGATGAAGTGGTGAAAGGATTGGTTTGGAATTGGTGGTGTTGAAGGGAGAGGGAGTGTAAGAAAATGGAGAAAGTGTTGCCATTTTTGGAAGGATGATGATTTGAATTGAAATGAATCAAGTATTTGTGGAGTGTGCATGGTTGAAGTCAAGAAGGTTGGAGAAGTTTAAGGAAGCTTCAAGTACCTTAAAAGTTGTCTTTTTCTTGCTTCTCTTCTATATAGTTTGATTTTGAAGTTGAAGTTCATGTTTGTTGGAAATCCACCAATACTCTATGATGAATTTCGACCACCACTGATGATTAGTTATGACAAACAAATAAAAGAACAATGGAGATATTTCTGCAGAATTTCTATTCTGCCCACAAACTGTGGAATCTTTATTAATTCACTTTGCAACTGCAAAATACTGTGAATGAGTTCAATGACTTGAATACAAAAATAAGGGTTACTCCCTCTTATTTATAGATTTAGGTTAGCTTGCTCCCTAAGCTAAACCCAAGCCCAAAATATCTCTTTACTAAATCAAATCTAATCTAGATTTAAATTCAAATCTATTTAAATCTAAACAAATCAAATCTTTTTTTGACACCTATGAATTACAATTTAACACACCACCTAATTCATTGTGTCTAAACTGTCTATGTTCATCATGGCCCTTAGCTTTCTGAATACTTCGACCTGCACTCCCTTCGTCATGATGTCTGCAATCTGATTCTCAGTTCTGCAGTGTTCCAAATTCATCTTCTCATCTGCTACCTGCTCTCGAAGATAATGGAATCTCATTTCGATGTGCTTACTTCGACCATGTGCTATTGGGTTCTTCGCCAGATTGATAGCTGACATGCTGTCTATCTTCATGGTAATTGCTCCATGATTTTTCCCTGTTATCTCTTCGACCAAGTTCACCATCCAGGTTGCTTGACATGCACAAAGAGAAGCAGCTATGTATTCTGCTTCGCATGATGATAATGCTACTACTGGTTCTTTTCTCGAACTCCAAGCAATTGTTGCACCACCTAGCATAAATACATATCCTGCTGTTAACTTTCGATCTTCAGCATCACTACACCAACTCGAATCAGTGTATCCCACTAACTTGCATTCTTTTCCTTTATCAACTGCAGGAAACAGAATGCCATAATCGAAAGTTCCTTTAAGATACCTTAGTATCCTCTTCACAGCTGCTAGATGTGATACCTTTGGCTTCTGCATGAATCTACTTACCATACCTACGCTGTATGCTAAGTCAGGCCTTGTATGACAAAGGTATCTCAATGATCCAATAAGTCTTCTGTATTGGGTTGGATCAACATCATCTTCATCTGTATCTTTCGACAGTTGCAGTCTTAGTTCTGCAGGTGTCGAAGTTGAGTTGCATTCTTCCATCTCAAACCTCTTGAGAATTTCCCCTGCATATCTTCTTTGATGCATCATCAAACCTCTACTGCTTTTGTAGAATTCGATACCAAGGAAATATGAAATCTCACCCAAATCAGACATTTCGAATTCCTTGCTAAGATCAACTTTGAAGTCTTCGATCTCACTCTTGCAGCTACCTGTTATCAACAAATCATCTACATAGAGACATAGTATAAGCAATTTACTCTTGCTTCTTCTTACATATACTCCATGTTCAGTTATGCACTTCACAAATTCCTTCTCCCTTAGAAAACTATCAATTTTCTTATTCCAAACCCTTGGAGCTTGTTTCAAACCATACAGGGCTTTATGTAGCCTGTACACCTTTCTTTCTTCGT